CAAATTAAGTGAAACCCTAAAGACATGAAAAGCAAACTCTCACCTTCCTTCACACTGTCCACCCCACTTGAGAGCAAACGGCCAACTCTTCCAAGTGCTCAAACTGTCCCGACTTGAATTACAGGATCAGATAAAGTTTCCCAGGATTTCTCAGTTGGAATATCTCAGAGGACATCAGAAACACACACCTTCTCAGAGGCAGAGCTTCCACAACCCAGCACTGCAGGGACGTGACTGGCTAGATTTGTGTCTTGGTGTGTGTGCCACCTTCTATCCTGGAACTAAATGATAACCTAACAACTTTAGTAGATACAAGCAAGCTCATTAGCATTATAAATAGACTAATAAAGAAAAAATGGTTCTTTCTTAGTGGTGGAAGTCCAGAAAAAAAAGCCGGAAACCTTAACCATGAACAGGCTGCACTCAGGGTACTGAGCATAAATACCATTTATTGTCCTCAAAAAACCACGAGAATTTTTTGGAGCAATGGAGAAAGCCCAGAAATATAGTTCTAATAAATTCTGTGAATTTTTTGGAGCAACAGAGAAATCATTGAAAAAGTTTAAAGGAAGCCTAAGAGAGCCTTCATTGCAACACCAAGAAAGAACCAAGAAATTAGTGCATTAAGCTAAAGCAAGGTACATTGGTTTTCATCAACAGTCTGCATTGTGTAGGATGTAACATGTTTGTTTATACCAATGTGAGGGAATCAAGATTTGTTTCTAGATAAACATAAAAAAAGATAAGAACTTAGAAATAAAGTAAAGTGCAGACTGTTGATCTAAATGTGTTTAACATTAATATTAAATATCATTGTAAGGAAGAATGGAATAAAAAATTGAGAGATTGAAGATGAAATGAAAATAACACTTTGGAAACTGAAAATAGCCCAATTCTAAAATAAATCTGAATTGAAGACCTTCAAATTAAATTTTGCTTAATTGTAAATTCTGATAACATTTTGTCTTCAGTAAGATTGACTCTCAAAAACTTTCCTACAAGCAGGTGGTGTAATATTTTCTTGCTTACGTCCAAAAACATTATTTTGCATTAATGAAAATTTTGGTAAGTCTTGAAAGTAATCAATGATGCAGTCAAGAAGGTAACAAAGATGGCGTGAACAAACTTGCTTACAGCTGGAAATTTTGTTTTGCTTGAGATAAGTGAATGTTTTTTGGCTAGCAATAGTTAAAGTTTGTGCTAATGAGCTTGCAGATCCACTTTACTAAAGTGTGCATTAAGGTTGTTCAATTTATAATTAAAAATTTCCCCTTGTTTATGAATTAAAACTACCACCATCAAGCTGCCGAGCACTTTAAAATGGTAAAGATGGATAAAAAAGATCCATAGTCTGTAGTTTCCAAAGAAAATTAAATTCATTTCCTGCACAACTTTTAAAAGATTAATCAAAAACAAACATTTTATGATTATTTTAAGGAAGCTACAGTAAGTAGTAAGGTTGAGTGGCAGTGTGATGTTGATTGTTGCTCGAAAAGAGTTTAGTAGCGAAAATATTTTTGGCTTTTATGAAAGAACTACATTGTACACTAAGATAAGAAGTAATCATTTGGCAAGCTATCCTTAGGGTCGTGAAGTATTCGTTGGCTAAATTCTAAGAAGTCTACCAACTAATTTATATTAATTTTTTCTTAGACTGTAATGAAGCACACACCAATGTGAAAGAGCTGAAAATTGAAAAACTGGACATCCTGCATCCTCTCATGATTAATTTGCTGTAAGTACATGTACTCAATGTGGTTCCAATTTTTAAGGTTAAGGATGGAACCTTAGCACATGCCTAATAAGATAGTTACCATTATTGAGCTCCTAGCTGGTTTTTTTCCTATAAAGATAAACATAACTTATGCAAATTTTTAAATTTGAGTCTTATCAGTAGAATTGAGACTTACAGGTGGCTGCCAAGATCAGTGCAAAGCCTCACAAGAAAATAATTTACTGGGCAGGTGTCTTTCTTGTGTTTGCAAATAATGTGAATTTTGATTAATAAACTCTTGAAATTTAGTTGAAAGTGAGTTTGTTGTTACACACTGTAATCTACAAAGAAAACTACATACAGTAGCAAGGACCTCTGATTCCAATCATTGGCCCAATTAATCACATACAGTGTACATCTATGGTGATACTCAGTAGCAAAATGTTTGGAGACAATTTTCCTTTCAGAAAAAAGCACTTATTTGAATAATGGTGGCACACACACTTATGTAGCATTAGATAATATTATGTGACTCAGTGCTAATTGTTGCATTGGTATGCAGCTTGTGCAGTTACGGTAGTCTGTGAAGTATTGGTGATTGTGGTACAGAGTTTGTTAGTTGGTAGTTAAGCCTGCAGCGTCAATGACAGTATCTTAGGTTTCAACTGAGGTGCTGAAGTCAGGTCTAGTTTTTTAGGTTTGTCCAGGTCAAGAATAACTCGGTTGTAAACATGCAAGTAGTTGATGTCAGATGTTGTCAGTTTCAATCCATCCATTGTTTGTCAAGTTTGTGCTGGTTCTGTTTGAAGTTTAATGTTTGTTGGTTGGCTTGTTGAGGTCATGAAAAAGTCATTTGTAAGGTGTAAGTAGTTGTTTGTGTCAGATATTGTTACAGTTTGTGCTGGTTATGTTTGAAGTAACAAAATAATGTACAGTTTTTTGGTTGGTTTGTCTAGGCCATGAATAAGTAATAAATTTATAAGGTACAGTATAAGTGTGTAATTGTTGATGTCAGATAACTGTTGTCAGTTTCAATCCACCTGTTGTTAGTCAAGTCTGTGCTAGTTCTGTTTGAAGTTAAAGTTTGTTGGTTGATTTGTTTAGGTCATAAATAAGGCCATCTGTAAGGTGCAAAGTTGTCAGTGTTAGATGTTGTGAAGTGTCACTTCATCTATTGTAAGTCAAGTTTGTGTCGGTTCTGTTTGAAGTTAAAGTTTGTTGGTAGGTTTATTTAGGTCATGAATAAGTCATTTGTAAGGTGTTGCAGGTAGTAAAACTTAGATGCTGGTGTCAGATGTTCTCTGTTTCACTCCATCTATTGTTAGTCAAGTTTATGCTGGGTCTGTTTGAAGTGAAAGGTTGTTGATTGATCTGCTAAGGTCATGAAAAAGTCACTTGTTGTTGGCATCAGTCAAAAGGTGTTTGTTCTACTAAGTTAGTGTCTGTATGAAAGGTGTTTACACAGTTTTACTTGCTCCAAACCAATGCAAGCAGTTTACAAAGAATCTACTACAAGAACCTTGTTGAAGACTATGTCAAGCTAAAGAAATAACCAGCTAACCTGAACGGGGGTTGTGGAACAACAGCTGGGTGAAAAACCTCCCTGTACGTCCACTTGCTCCTGGGAGGAAAACCCCGGGCCAGCTGTACCCCACGTTCAAAGGCCTCCCGGGCAGGGCCAACTTATTCTGATTAAATAAAGTACTTATGGTACCATAAGCCATCTTGTCAATTTGTCTACTAGGTGGCTTGACTCTTTAAGCATCCTCTTCTCAGCCTGCACACTTGTCTTTTTCCTGGCCTCTGAGRCTGTGCTGTCTTCTGATGCTTTCTGTCTGGTCCAACATCCTGTAATGAATCAAGCAAACTTGATAGGTTATTTTGGAATCCAATCTGAGATTTAGAGAGCTTACAGGATGTATTTTGTATCACTTGCAAGGGTTTAGCTGTTGTCTTTCTTGACACCTACGCTTGGATAACAAGTCATTAAATGAAAAATGTAATAATTTTGCTTCCATGAACTACCTAATTTTAACAGCTAAGGATTCCTTGACTGTATATAGCTTAGTCCAACAATTAAGTCACCTGTAAACATGAATAAAACTGACTAATTAATGCACACCACCCAAACTATATTGTTCACTCCATTGATTTTTCACTTTACTGGTAAAAATCTTTCAAGGTTCCTTGAGGATCCTCATGAGGATCTTATCAAGGATCAAGATCCTCAAAGATTCTGATAAAGATCTTTAAGGATCTTCATAAACTAAACACCCTGTCTGCAATAAGTGCACTGTATACCCAACAAGCATCCTGAGCTTCCCAATAAAATTATTTAGTTCTCAGGGCGGGATCATTGTTCTTGATTCTCAGAGCTATATTTTGTCCCATAAAAAGAATGAAATCCTAAAGATGAATGTTTAACAAATTCTTATTTTTATTTAACATATTGATGCCAGCTTTTTTGTGTGTCTGTCCTCTTATTGACGATAAAGTGCACCATAGTATTGTTACAGTAGCTGACAATCCACTCGGCAGTGCTTGTGGATCCAGTCTTTCTCAAATGATAATAGTGTGATGAAATTTATCATCAGCGAGAGGATATAAAAAGCAATTTATGACAATTCTTTTATTCTAGGGCATTTATGATACAGCAAGCGATAACAATCTCTTATTAGTCAATGAGTATGCAATAAATTTAACAGTTATTCAATTGTAAATAAACCATTTGAATGTTACTGCTTAGTACTTAATTAACAGATATGTTTGTCTTGGTGTGATATTTCAAATACAGTCAAACCTCTCGTAGGCGTACTGTAAGTGACCACCCAAAATGTCAAGTCTACTAAGTGGTTGCTTACGGGGGGCTTAGACCATATTGGGTCAAAATTTTGCCTCATTAGCATATGGTAATTGCAGAAACTTGCCCATGTTTTAAACGTTTTAGTCATTTCAAAAGTCAATTTGGGGAAAAATTCTGGTACTTCCCAATGAGAAAGTTTGTCTCTTGTACCACCCAGGAATGCGATAATGCTACAACACTTTATTATCTAATTTTTGCTCTATTATTTGTCAAGTGGTCACTTACATGAGATTAATAACAAAAAAAAATGTCAAACTTTTAGCCCTAAAAGTGGTCGTGGTCGCTTATGAGAGCTGGTCGCTTACAAGAGGCTCCAAATATAGTGATTTGACTTGGAAACTTTTGGTATTTTGGAAAACTTGTCCCTGAGGAGAGGTGGTTGCAATTGGAGGTTCGACTGTGTGGTTGATCACGAACATTGCTACATACATGCACAACTCTTGTAAAACAAGTGAACGTTATGCTGGAAACTACGGTGGCCTGGAAGGGACATCAACTGTTTTTTTCATCCGCGACTTCTTTTTTTGATCTGTGACTTTTTTTTCATCAGCAACTTTTTTTTTATCTGCGACATATTTTTATCTGCAACCTTTTTTTTCATCCGCGACTTTTTTTATCAGTACCTCTTTTTTTCTATCTGCGCCTCTTTTTTTATCCGACCCTCTTTTTCTGTGTGACTTTGCTTATTGTATTTGGTAGTGGATTGCTCTGTGGTGATTTGAAGACAGCATTTCAGTAGCTATGTTCTTCACGGTCATCTTAATCCTTATTTTGTTTCCATTGTACTGTCACTGTGTTTTGTCAGACTATCTTCCAGTTGTAGAAGAAACATCTTACAACAGGGATGAAGTGATAGCCACCTATTTTTACCTTGGACTTTCCCACAGCAAAACATTAGCGCTTTTAAGTTGCTCTCATGGTGGTGGATCCTAGTTTATACCACAACTCAAAAGAGGGCTCAAGTCTAAATGGCCATGCAGAAAAATGACGTGGGGGGGGGGGGGGGGGGGGTTACTNAAGCTATTTTGCTAAAGCGTTTCGTCCTTGTCACCCGAGTTAGAGTGTTCATATGGAAAAATTGTCATCCCGCCGAGGGGGGGGGGAGGGGGGGGGGTTACTGCCATAAACTTCGGATAGGTGTGTGCCACGAAGTATTTTAAACCCTGACCCTATTTAAGGATGAAGGACTTTAAAATGATACCCTATTCCAAAAAATGACACCCCATTGAAGAGAAAATCAATCACTAATAATAGCGTGAAGTTAACCAAAGGTTCAGTTCTAACAGATCATTTGTTTTTCGTTTAGCTGGGCATTTACGCACTGCAATTTTAGCTGATATAATTTACGTACCCTATCTAGGGACCACACCACAAACACAATGCCAACAGGGGCAACAGTAATACCCTATTTAAGGATCAAGAACCTCAAAAACCCTACCCTATCCCCGAAACCCTAATCCTAACCACCCCCCCCCCCTCCCCACCGGGAAGAGAGAATTATTCTCCTTTGCAGGAGGGTTGATAACGCTGTCAGAAAAGAAATTTCCAGAAGTGGGAACAAAAGATAATGACAGGACTACACGGACTCCCCTCGTGAATTACTGGTTTATATTGTACTGTCATGCAATCAAAAATAAAAATCGTAACCATTTAATAAATTAAGTCTGGGATATGATAGATGGTTGATATATAAACAACCTCGCCAAAATTTAGGCCTGTGCGGTTATTCATTAGTGCAATATTCAGAAAAGTGTTTCGCCCAAATTTATAGAGCTTTGTGTGGAGACACCATGTTGATGCCCTTAGCTTCGGAGGCGCACGTAAAGTAACAGAACCCCGTAAAGTAACAGAAACATCTGTCATTGAGTTTTCCCAATTCCTCTAGAGTTCTGACAAATTGAAAGTAATAATTCTTCTATTGCAAGAACTGTTCAGTTAGAAAAAACTTGAGCGATAAATCCTCTTTTGGCCTATGCCAAAGTCCTCTCAGGCCGCCATTTTAATGCTGTGAACGCAACGCAAAAACTTGGAAATTCAAACCTCCTCTATACCAAAATGGCGAACCCAGTGTCGATCTTAAATGTTGTAAAACGTCATGTTCTTAGAGGGTCTTATATCTGATGAAACTAAAACTTTAGAAGGATTGGATGAATGATGACGATGTCCCTGTGTGATTAAGAGATTTGCCTCACTTTTTATATGATATAATCAGAGGTTTTGTATAGATGCTTTTCAGCAATGGCTGGTTCTGTATTACAACCTGGGCAGTTATTCATTAAATAATTTTTTAGGCCACGTACTGCTGGATGACATGCTGCTTGCTCTGTTACAGTGTATGTGAACCCACAGTCTTAACACATGCGGCAAAGAAGAAGCCATGGATGAAAAAAAAGAGTTGCAGATAAAAAAAGTCACGGATGAAAAAAAGTCACGGATAAAAAAAAGTCGTGGATAAAAAAAAGTTGTGGATGAACAAAAGAAGTTGTGGATGGAAAAAAAAGTCGCGCACATGAAAAAAACCGTTCATGAAAAAAGTCGATGTCCCTTCCAGGCCACCATAGGAAACAGAAAATTTTGAATGTCAGAGACATTTTTTTTTTTCATCATGTTGGTCTAGACAATATCAAAAGAGTATCACAAGGGGCATCCATATCCCATACTAAGCCTTGGGATCTATCTTTTCCACCTGTATCTGAAGTTTCTATTTTTTGGAACACCGCAAAATTTGTTTGTCAGTTTAAACCCTTCCTTCCCCATTGGAAAATTTCACTTTAGCTTGGTAATTGATTTTTCTTTGAAAATTTTAGGTTTTAAAACTCCCCTTAACTTCTAATTGGCTTGCACTACATGAATATAATTTAATCAGTTGTACAGTATGAATACGATACATGTAGTTTCTGAAGGCACCCATTAGAGGCTTTCAAACAGGGGGTACACGTCACGAAAACCATTTTTCAAAATGTTTTGCACCAAAGATTTCCTGGTTGAATGGAAAGCCTTGATATCCTGTCTAATTTTACTTGGAAATATAACATGTATTATTTATGGCAAGGTGTTCCAAAGCAATGAGAGCTACGAGGAGATTCTCTCAGGTTGACATTGCTTTGCGTTAAATTTCATCAACAATATCTAGTAGCAAAGATGGTGGATCGTGTGTACTAAAGGCATCTGCAGTCAAGTGTCAATCGATAACCTGGATCAAGGGTACATGTATCGATTGACACTCGACTGCAGATGCCTTTAGTACACATGATCCAAGATGGTTACAAGACAGTGTATTTACCCAGTTGCTCAAGGTCTGAATGTTTTTGGTTTCCACTGTCTTGCTGGAGTTGTCCACTCATGCTCGTCCAGTTTTCCACCATGTGTCCAAAATTGTCCACTGTGTATTCATGTTTGTCCACTGTCCATGTCCATCTAAGTGTATCTAGTGTCCCATCTTGGTTTTTCCACTGTCTGTCCATTCTTGTTCATTGCTGACTAAGTATTGAGAAATTCAGAAAAGATTCTTGTTGATGGTGGAATTATCAAGAACTCAGTCCAATGATTATCGTTGAAAAAAAACAACATTTATTGTAAAGAGATAATTTATACTCAGTTTTTTTAACAGATAAACCCAACCAAAACAGAAATGCCTACACTGCAAGCTATCTCAAATCATTAATAGGAGGAGTGAGTAACAGTGTACAGGTGTAGCTGTAATATTTAGTCAGCCTGATAACCACTGATATCCGATGATGTCTTGCATTATCAAGGCACCTTCCAAAATTAACTAGCAACCTCCCTAATATGGAAGGTGTGTGCCTGGGGTATCTGGGGGCTTCCACTGTGGCCAGCCAGCCCCAGTGCCAGTAATGAGGACAAGACGACCTGAGGATAGCAAACTCTGAACGGTTTGATGACAAACACTAGAACTACAACACAATCGCAACAAGATGGTGATCCAGAACAAGTGAGAGAGATTGAGCAAACAAAACACACATGCGCAGCTAACAACACCTGCTTGCGCAACCTCTTCTTCCATAAAAATAAAAATAGAACTAACATGGTCTAAGCCTAACAAAGGACGAGGTTAGAAATAACAGGGAGTTCGTTAACAGTTATACGATAAACACAGGTTTCTGAAACGAGTGTTCGGACAAAGGGAAAGTCTCACAGCTTCCAAAAATCATGCTTAGTAAGTTAGTCCAGTATGTATTCTTGCAAATACGCTGGGGTCTGCGGGTGCACTGAGGTCTGGATTCTGAGATGGCAGGATCAGGCAAATCTGGTGCAACAGACTGGAGAGAGGGTGGGACTCACTGGATCTGTGAGGCTTGTGTCTGAGGAAGCAGTGACTCTAGGAGGCTCAGCCAGATCTGGACTATGTGGGTGTATAAGGTCAGGAGTGGCTTTTTGGTGCTTTTGAAAATGGTGCTATAAAAAGAAATGACCAGGATTGAATGTAGGCTCTACAAACACACAAAATATGGCTGCTTGCATCTAAGCATGAACACGTGATGCCAAAACATGCTCTAATTGGGTGTCAAACGTGGCATGATTGGTCATCAAACATTTGAAGTTTAGCAGACCGTAACACGAACTTTTGCGCTCACGCAAATGGTTGGGAAAGTGCGTGGGTGAGAGATTCACTCATGAGAACCATGTTTATACATGGTCATACCTGAGTGGATTACTTACTTGTCAGATAAAGATCCTTCTTCTGTAAAGTTTTTTGATGAGACAGGATTCAATTGCCAGATAGTGGACATAGAAACTACGGTTACTCTTCTGTTGGGGAACATTCTGTTGACATGCAACGTTACTTATCATGCGCCAACATTACTCTCTCAATTTTTTTGGCTGGTATTGATAGAGTTAAGTACGCAAATATTGTTCAAGGTGCGTCAAACTCTATTGAATGTCAAATTTGACACAGGTCAGGGTTAATTTCTCTGAAGAAGTCTTCAATGTCCAATCTTTCTGCCATTTCGCGCACTGAACTTTTAGTGCAAAAAATCTTGATACGGTCTGCTGAACTTCAAATGTTTCATAACCAATCATGCCACATTTGACACCCAATTAGAGCATGTTTCAGCATCACACGTTCATGCTTAGATGCAAGCGACGGTAATTCAATTTGTAGTTTTTTACAACAGCTTTTAAAAAACTGCAAAACTGATGAGGCAGCCTCGATGAAAGTTACAAAGTAATGAAAATTTCAAAATTTATAAAAATCAAATGAAATTTAATAATAGTTACAAATTAAGGCAGTTCAAAGGCAAGGCTGAATATCTGGACTTGATTGAAACTGCATCTACCAAAATTAAACAAGAAGCTCGACACTTAGAACTGCACTGAAGAGCAGACATTACAAAATTCCTAATAAGTCAATGGTAGTTGTTAGCTCCTGACCACAAGGTTAATTAACACTTAAAATAAACTAAACACCAAGTCTGTAATACATGTAAACTAGTGCACTATAGCAAACAAGCATTCTCTAACGGACTGCCCTAAATATAGTTTTTGCTAAGCAGATTCATGTGCTTGTAGGAAGTGTTTTACAAGCCTCAGTAAGAATGGAGAGAAAGCCTAACTTCTTAAAGTGCCTAAATGAAAAATAATTGCGGCTTAATTGAAAGGCTTTTCAAAATACAGAAGAATGGTGTTTTACTTTCTGGAATATCTTTTATCATTTTAGAAATATTGATGTTTTTGTATTATGCAAATTAGGAAAGTGATGGCATCATAATTTGTGCAACTAAAATGGTAAAATACTGAATAAAGAATATCTCTGGAAATATTGGAGCACTGTCCTTCAAACTTGGCACCAGAAATGCTCATCACAAAAGAAACAAAAGCACCTGTTGTGCTGTTGCCATGACAACAGTTTTGTCCCTGGTCCTGTCTTAATTAAAACTAAACTTCCCAGTTTTGTCTTAAACTAGGATCATCTACATGTACTCCCAGGAATCTAATGAGGAGAGTTTAGACAATATGGGAACCATGTCTGTTCCAAGCAGGACTAGCCTGCAAGCAGGCTCACCTTTGAGTCACACGTGCAAACAGCGAAGAGCAAAGCGATCCAGCGAGAAGGAGTCTGGTGAAGAGGCGCCAAGAAAGTGAGCCTGCCTTGATCTCTGTAATTGTTTCATTTCTGCTTCCCCTGAGCGAAGTGAAATACCATTGGCCGAAAACCAGGAAAGGCGAGAAAACTGTAAAATCTATTATGTTTGATGAGGAGCGATTAGATCCCCATGGAGTCGGTAATTTACTGCACGCTCTCACAATAAAAAATAAGTTGTCCACATGCGGGAGTCAGAGGAAGAGTTGAGTACGCACGTAACTGATGTTTTAAAAAAGTTCTAGGTCAAAGAAGGAACAGGAAATAGCAGTTGAACATATGTTAATGAATCAAGACGTACTTGATATGTCTGCATATCTAATATGTATACTAAATTGGCCACTCCCCATTGGCGCTTTTCAGGACCAATGTAAACAAACAATGATAAATAAATATTCAAACAAACATAACTAGGTTAAGGCAGACCAGTTGGCTATTAACAAGCGTAGCCAAGAAGTTGAACGCGACGCTATCAAGAACAACATCAGCTGGTGGTCAGAACAGGATGGCAATGGCAATGTCACTACAGGTGTCATTTTGTTTCTTTTGTTGTGTACATTTCTGGTGCCAAAGATTTTTCTTTTCATAAGCACTTTAAGAAGTTAGACTTTCACTTCATTTTCTGTCAAAAACCAAGTTTACCATTTTATCTGTCAATATCTATTACTTTTTTGTCCTTTTTTATTTTGTACATGTATTTTTTTTCCTGTGAGGTTTGTGTAATTAGAAAAAAAATTTAAAAAGTAAACATAAAGTTGGAAAGATAAGTGTGGAAAATTTTAAATGCAACAGACTTTTTCATTATTATGTTGAACATTCTAGACAACAATCATCAGAAACCTATCACTTTTCCAAGCATCTATCATCCATACTACACAGTGCATGTAAACCTTTGAGTAAACCTTTTCCTTGATATCTTTATTTTTACAAACTGATTTTCTATCCAGCTGTAAGCCAGGTGGCCGTCTGGCGTCCTGGGAAAGGCCACTTTTCAAGAGGAAATAAATAAATAAAGCAGAGATCTTGTTGATTTGCAGTCAGTAATTTCATAACAGTTCCAACAAAATCACTTGATTTCTATAATGATTCTGGAAATGCTTTTGAACACACCATCTCACCATCACCTTATTTGTACTTAAGTTTCCTTTGGTTACTTCATAGCTAGGTGAATACCGGGCACTCTTTTCCCATTTACATCGATTTCACTGAAAGGAATTTTGCGTAACTAGCAAGAAGAGTTTCTCCTGGGAGCGTTGTTAATAGCTACATGAAGTACTAATTTGTGAACCAGCACAAGTTGTTTATCATTCAAGTCCAGTCGATACATTTATCAGCTGAAAACCATGGAAAACACACCTATGACGCTTCAATTTTTCAAAATATTCTAGGGGGGCATGCCACAAGACTCCTGGCTAAAAGCCTGTTTCTATCTCTCACCCAGGCACTGTTGCACCCTGGTTTGAAATGTAGTAAAAATATTTTACAATGAGGACATGGTATTGTGATAAAAATAAAGGTTTCCATGGTTTCTGGCACCATCTTGATTGGCAGGAGTGGGGAAAGACAGTAAAAATTATAGTAATGTGAGTAAAAGTGGGAAGTTTGATACCTTAACATTTGAGGATCATAGGCGTACGGGCCACAGAGGCTGGGGGGCTGCTGCTCCCCAAAATTTGGGCAAGTCAGTTTTTTTGGGGCAATGAGATAAATTTGAGCAAAGGGTTTTTAAAATGTTTCCATGTGTTTTGAGAAATTACAATGTCACTAGAAACAGAGAATAACAGTACTAGTAATCAATATACATGTACAATAACGTGAGACTCAACACTCAAACGTAGTGCGAGTCAGCATTTTCTAAACACCCATTATTTTTTTGTGTCTTACATTGTCAGCGAGACAAAAGCTTTATTTTTCTAAACATTTGGAATTTTTTTCGTTTTCTATGTCCACTCTTAAAACTTTGCAGAAATTTCATTCATGTCTTTACTGAAGCATGCTTTATTGTCAATGCTGCTGTGTCGAAATTCAACAAAACGCAAACACACAATTTCTTCCTCTTATGCTCTATACCAAATGTCATGAATTGCAAAGAGATAGTGTCAGTGAGTTCAAAAGTAAAAGTTTCGAAAAGAGAACAAGCAATGATCTGTTAAAAATTGTTTGTGCTCAATTGTTAAATGTAAAAATGTGGGGAACTTGGGAAAATTTTTTGGGAAAGTGATTCACCC